GCCGAATAAGTCAGACTATTCGCTTCGTGAAGCTGAAAAAGGACGTAGCGTTCAGTTGACGCTTAGTGGTATTATTATATAGTCCAGTAACAACTGGAACTCTAGCGGCAGCACAATCGTTATAGGAAATCATTGTGGGGCAGTGATTATTAGTAAAATCAGTAGATAAACATGACACGCTACAGAGTCGTCAATATTTTCAGGATGCAAGGGCTGGGACAATGGAAGGGATGAGAAGTGATTCTGGTTGTGTACTTTCAGAAGAAGCCGCTGTTAGTATAGACTAAGCACATAGTTAAAAGTTGTGACTTGTTGATCTTGTCCGACGATTAAATTTGACACGTGAGAACACACCGCCTTTTGCCTGCTACACAAAGGCTATGCATGCTGCCGGATAGGACCAGACCACTGTTATGATACAGACATAACCACTCTGTATGTGCTCACATATCTGATTGAAAATTAAATAGTTAACCTCCCAGTTGCCTGGAGCAGAGAATTTTTTTGTCATAAAGCTGACTGTCCCTTGGATCATTTGCTTGTCTGTCCTGGTAGTCAAAATATTGTATTATTATTTTATTGCCAGGTTTATATCTATACCTATTATTATATTATATTTTTTTGCTGGTATATTTTATTGACGGCAATATAGAATGCAATCAGGTAAATTCGATTGACTCAAGTTTATATATGATAAAGCTATCAGCTGTTAAGTTAGAGAGGCAGCCACGATTAGTCACTTTGAAAAAAGAATGACTTCTCTCAAATAATCCATCAAAAAGCACGGTTCTACTTTGTCATCACTATAACGAGACTATACTGGGGCTTTCAATTAACATTTACTAATGAAAAGCCAGAAGAAATAGAAAATGTCGGTCCATGATTTTTGAATGAAAATCACTTCGCGTAATAGTAAAATAAACCCGAACTTAATTTTTGTTCAGATTTGGTGTTTGAGCTCTTGTTTCTAATGCCATAGGATAGAACTGCACGGTGGCAATTGCCTGAATCTCTTCTATAATCAGCAGTTTGACAAACCGGAATTACTGATCTGATCTGGCACCTCATGGGTTTTGCGCCCGACGTTTTCGAGTCGTGTACTTTCCTGGGTTGGACATTCCGTCTTTGCCGCATTTCCGCTATAGAGGCAAACTTTCGATACCAAAATGGCTTTCCGTCTGCCCGCCGACAAGGCACACTAGAAAAATAAAAAAAAGACGTTCTAATTCTGTAGCAGGTCATTTCGTCTGATGGTATTGGTGGCAGATTTTTCTCATCGTGTAAAAAATACCCAATAATTTGTTTCTGAGAAGGCACCCACAATATACGAAAGCGTGTCACTCGCAACCGTGTCGAAATCATTTGTTTTGAAACGACATCCAGTAGCAGCAGCGACTCGAAAAACGACCGGACGTCATTTCGTGGCGCGTTTGCGGTAGGCGTTTTTAACTTTGACTTCGAGGAGGGCAGACTCTCATTGTGCGAATGATGATCAACTCGGTTGGTCTGCTCAGTAAGTTTAAGATCACCTATCGTGAGAGGAACATCTATGACAATGAAAGTTAATTCGTCACGTTTATGGACTAACTACGGCAGAATAACGAGTCCAGTAAAATCTTTGGAGGTGTTAATGGGAACAGAATCGCTACTTGCGAAAAATACCGTCTACTAGATGCAGCCCGTCTTCTATTCTATCTCTATGATACAACAAGTTCAAATATTTAAAATACAAACGAGACTACTACGTTCTACGTATGCTGTTACATCTAGCAAGTAACTCGTCGAGCGGATCTGCCTCAAGCAAACAGAATGGTAACTTCCTTTTCTCGCACCCTACTCCTCGCTCTTACTCTCGTTCTTAGTCATATAACAAAATTAGCAAATTCAAGTTAATTTAGCTTTTAACGTATCCGTTCGCCGCGGATAGGCTTCCTCCAGCGAACTCGTTACCGGTGCTATGTACTTGACAGTTCGTCCTCTTCTAACACCTCTGTCTGCTTCCGCTAATCATGGTGGCTTCCTCAACTATTCTGTCGTTAGCAAGCGAGGAGTGGTTAACAACAAACGAGAAAGGCCACTGACCGATCGCGGGCTGGAGAATTCCCTGACACCAAAACTAGTTGAATCTTAGTTATCGGGGGATAGGTAATAAGCGTCAACTACATGTTGTCTAACTACTACTACATGTTGAATCGTTGTCTAGGCCGCTACATTAGCAACAGACCAGCATCGCCGCTGACAGGCGTCGAAGGGAAATGATTCGGGTTTGGCCTGGTTGCCAGCATTACGCCTATACGCATGAGTAACCGTCACGCTAAACGAAGGAACCCGTTAGTATGAAGTGGCAAATCGGTTGATCTGTCTCTCCTTCAGAAGTAACGCTATAACCAATACAACTTTGTACAAGGTCAAACATTGTACTGTAGTATTTTCAGCAGCTTTTCTGACTTACGAGGTACCGTGATGTTTTATATCTGCAGCAGCGACTATATCTGCCCGATAAGACCAAGTCTGTTATTTATGCTGCGTGTCGTTGGCCTTTTAACGCAGACAGGTTCTAGTAAAACTATGCTATAGTAGTGCAAGAGCTCAAGCAGGTAATACAATTAAAACGTCGCTGGAATGCTATTGGACAACGAATCACCCATACGGTGTCGCTAAAAGTGCCAATACATTGAGCAACATCGAAAAATACGTTCGCCGAAATAACGTGGCAACAAAATCGCTCCTTTAAATCATAGGGAAGACATATGAAATATATATGCCTTAGTCAAAGCGTTAACTCAACTTTTGATACATCTTAAAAGGCATTATCCCTACGCAGAAGTCTCCGTGATAGTGCTGTGGTAACGTGTTTGTTTAGTAAATCTAGCGATACTTAATGAAGTCGTTTAGGCTCGAGAAAAACCATAGATCTACCTCGTTTTGTGCTGGCACAAGCCGGCCGTCTGAAGTAACGCTTAACAGCAGTTGAAGGGCACTATGGATCTTCAGCATTCATCATTGAATAGAAGATACGTACAGCCTTTAAATCTAGCCTAGAAAATCTACGACGTAGACTTGAAGTTCCCCATCGTCCCTGTCTAGTCCAAGCCCATGGGCACACAGGTGAAGAGGATGACGCAAATCGATCTTGACCTTTACGATACGCGAACTTTGATTAATGAAGCCTAAAACGAACTGTCACCATATGTAGGGCAAAGAGCTTTTTTTTTACTATGGGTTACACGCGTCTGTACATGATATCATAGAACAATTTTCGGGTATCGTTTCTCGGACGTCATGCGCTGCCGTACCATCGTGGACCAATCTCTCTAACCGAATACACCATAATTAGAATTCAAAATTTCTTTAACCTCATGCAACATAAATGTACATTTTTTAGCACAAGCAAAGTATTTGTGTTTCTACGACCCTTAGTAGCAGCGGAAAAGCTCGAACCATTTTTTTGGTAGATTTTAAAAGTCTGAGAACAAAATTAGTTGTTTAAAACAGTAGTCGTTAACCAAACTTATTGAGTGTTGCAAAACCATTTTAGAGAATGGCAAACGTCAGTATGGAAGCCACATTCTGTACGCATTATATATACACAAATACCTAACAAAGCGGATTCTCTTTACTACCGTGCCGTTAGTAAATGGTCCGTATCGTAATATTTGATCGGAACGGTCCGCAGACTAGTCATAATCGGAGGTCGACGGGAAACGTTCAGTTTTACATACTCTTCCGTTCATCTAGAACTGATGTAGATCAGTTTAGGTATCAAATGCAACCAGTCGTGACAACGGGACAAGCCAGACTAGCTCGATAGGGTTTGACCCGATCTAGTTATTTCCCTATGAAGATCGCTTTTCTTTGCAGTGGTGAGCCAAAAATCAATCTAAAAGGACTTATGTATACAATGACCACTGCTTACCATTCTTTGAGAAACGTCTAATGAATTAAAGGCAAAGGCGTCCCTTCTAACCTCCTGACCTAGCAATCGGCTGAGTAACGCTGCACAGGCTTTCGAATTGCAAATGGAACAAGCCACAGACAGTAACACCGCTTATTATAAATTATTCCCCGTATTCGTAAATCAGTTTCATTAGCCGAAAAACCCCGTACTATCGTCAATCCATTGCCGAGTTCACATTTGGTTTCCATTATATTTCGGTGAAGTGAATATTTTCCGAGTGCATTTTTTTATAGCGTGTATATCATATGCATTCGTCGCAGTGTCGTTTAGATTATGAAATCACTTCATTTATTTCGTAACATTAACACGCCTATATATCTATGCACATACATGACATTAGCATGAGGCTTAATTATGTTGCAATGGCACATGAGCCTTACCTGCGTACCTATCATGCCTATCGTCCTTAACTTACTTACGTCCTTAGCTTGACCCTCGTGCCTCTTGCGACATGACTCTGTTCCCGTGATGCCGATTACGTTTGCGTTGGGTGTCTGTGTTGAATTGAGCTATGTAAATCGTTCGCTGTTCACAAAGGCGTTGCTCACGGCAAAGAAAGCTAAATTAAGTTACTGCTGCTGATCGAGTGGTGCCATAACTCCGTGACTGTCCGTCTCTCTGGACCAGCACCCGGTGAATTGGAAGGCCAACGCAAACCCGCTATAAGGTTACTACCTCTAGTAACTATTGAAGGCCTAAATCGAGGATGCGAAAGGGCTATTGCACAAGGTAACGCGTAGCGCTAAAGAATAATAGGCATAACTCGCTTGCTTGACCCGTAGGACTAGCGCACGGATAACCGCGTTTATTCCGCATTATAGAATAACCACTATAGAAAACGAAGTCACTGTCTGTAGGGCATCAGTTTGGCAGTCAGTGCTTAACGCACACACCTAGGACAGCCTTTGTCGTTTTCGAAAGAGGAAAATATCTAAATGGTTTCGATGGTCTCTGAACGCGACTGCAAAGTCTTTGCTACCGATGTAGCTACCACGTGGATTGTCCCAGGTAAAGGTCGCATTTACGGGCGATTTAACCAGTTTTAAGTTACATGAGTATTAGCGTAGCATCAAATAAAACAGACAGCCACCGCGCCCAATACGAAAGGATTTTAATAATAATGACCAACACTGATAACCTGATTACTGACCATCTTTAATAACAATCATCTCGAAATTCAAGATATATTTTGTTTGTAGTCATAGGGACCAATCTTAATATTTACTTGCGCATCCTAGGTCAGCTCAGCCACAGAACAAATCGAGTGTTATAGGACATTCGTAGGTGGTGTGGTGAGTTAATCTGAAATGAAAAAAAGTATTTCGTTTCTATCCCATGAAGCATGGCTGCCTACTAGCAACTCCATAACTTCCTCAATTCACTCAAACTGTTTAATATCATCAATCACTAAACCTATATGAAGAATGATCATTGCGTTTTTTTTTGCTGGCCTAATCAGCCGCGTTATTGCACTTCATCTTGAAACACTGCTCATCCTTTTTCGAAGCCAACTGCCCTTACTCCATTGTCTAATCTGACATGTTGACCTGATTTGTTTGTTAGACAAACATGCGACTGGCGCTAAAAGAACACGCAGCTACCCGTCTATGAAGCGTATTCTGTACAGGGTCCAATATAGACTTGTTTTTTACCAACGCTTCTGGCACCTTTTTGAACCTTGTATGGTCAGATGCATCTATCTACGTGATATGACTGAACAGTGTAAAAAAGTGGGCAAGAATAAAGGCGAAAGTGGGCATTGCAAAGAGTTTCATTGACTCTCGTATATTGCATTTTCGGGTTTGCTATACTAAGCAACAGGAACAACAACTGGGTTCGCACGTACGCATTTAGATAATTTGTGATACCTATTTTCTAGACAGACGTGAAAGTACCCTCTTATTCTATGCAAAACGCTTCAGCTTTCCTGCAGATCTTTGGCTGCTGCTATAAAAAAGCGGATGCAAGTCATTTTGCCACGTTGCCTTGGCAAGCACAATAGTGAACTGCTTCTCATAACTATCCGAACCCCCGGACCCAACGATGCAAGATCTCGTGTGAAGTCGAGGATCGAAAGATCTTGTATCGAAAACTGAACGACATTCATTACGTATGTGTGTGTTGTTTGTCGAATATCGCGATTCTGCCACTTCTGGATGCATATTACAGTCATTGTCTGAATACGTCGATGATATATACGTGGCAGTAATTAGAGAAAGCTTCGGGTCGATAGGATAGTATGTGCTGTAGTGAAGCCTAGGGGCTACATGACGTTGTTGGCAATTTAGCCTCGTTTACCGATTTTTTTTTCAGATGGACTCAATGAAGGATCCCGTTGTCGAAACTGCCTTTGGAAAACATCGTTCGAGGACCAAAATTCGCTGGGGTAAATGACTAACGAGAAGGCAGTAACGTATTATTCGTTGACGATACGTTCCAAGTAAGCCTCGTACTTTGAAGATGTGCGTTTTCCGATAGAAGCCTTAGCTTGCTAATAAAGACAAATGTTATCATAAGATCTAGAGCAGAAATAAATAGGAACCAGATCTCTTTGGTTGGCCTGAACGTTCTGAAGAAAATTTTCAAATTTGCACAGCCACGCTATGTCGCTAAGTTAGTAGTTGAATATTAATCTACAGCACCCTTCTACTTTATAAATGACTGACTAATATTAATCAGCAGAGCAAAATAATAGTTTAAAGTAAACACTCGACAAAGAAACAGTGTACAGGTTGGGAGTTAAAATGCGATATTACCCGAGCCAATTCTGCTCAGCCTGTACATGCGCGAGGCTCTTTGGTAGCATATCAATAGGCAGATTCGAAGTACAACATCGATTATTACACCTGTACACGCGAACGTAACGTTTAGATAAGGTCAATACGTCTATCGTTAACAGACAGCATACTAGTACGCTACAATGCGTGGGCTAGCTATTAAATTACTCGATGAAAAATGGCTAAAATGGTGCCAAAGCTTACAACTGTGTGTTGAGGCATAACATTTTTAGTAAGTATCTAGGCAGAGAATGCCAAGAAGGCTTCTAGACCTCTTACCTGTATCTATAAACGACAGTTAATGGATTTGGATTGGGTTGTGAAGTTCGTCGTGCGAGTCTGCCACGGTAGCAAAATAAAGACAGTGGAATGGGGGGTGGCAAGGCTAGGTACGATGAGCGATTTTCGACCTGCTTAGGGATTAAGTAGATGTAGTCGTATTATCATCATTATGACTACTGTTATTCTTAATTATACTATCCTCATTGCTTTTCTTTCAATGGTTTTCAGGAAATACGACTGATCATGGCTTAGACAGTGCGAGGTAGTGTTCTAACGATTGAAGCTATTGCTTCAATTAATGATTACCAGGTGCTGCACTCATATCCACGTCTACGTCAAGACGATATTAACTTCTTCGAAAGCATCTCCTCGCGTATCGTGTACGACACGATGAAGATGTCAGAGCACCATACTACAATCATGGTGACGACTGGGCTGCTTATGTACTTCCTATGGATGGATGTGGCGCTCTATTACAGGATACAGAGCTTACCTCCACCGACACCCGCATCCCCGATTACGGACACATCAACGGTTCAAACTTCGAAGGGAGCACCGCCAAAATTATTCTCGCCTTTCATAGGTCAATCAGATAACTTTATCGAGGATTTCTTTCCGAAGCTAGTTATCTATCGGAAATTTTGACGGTAACAAGCACCTTTTCAAGGGCAGAGTATCATCAATGTTGCTTCATTTCAGATTGTTTTAGGTTAGCACCACAATGAAGATTTTCTAAATGGAAAAAGGAATAGCAACGCAAGTTAATGATGCAGTAACACGGGTTAGGTCGGGCGATATACTGACATTTTCTGGCAGTCTTCACTTATCTATAATATACGTTGTACACACCCAAAGTACCACCGCAAGGAGCATTTTGATCAAGAATCATTATCAGCATTTACATAACAGAACATCGCATTGAACCCACTATGAATCTAAGGAGCGTGTAGAGTACCCAACGGGAAATCGAAGAGCGATTTTGTTTAGTTCCATAGTTCAGTTATTATTTATTTCGTCTATATTTACATGTATTGTAGGTCTGTCTGTGAAGATGATGATGTTGGATCAGGTGAACAACTACATTCATACTCCGTTGGCGCAAATCTTCAACCGAATGACAGACTTCGCGAAGGTATTCCACTTCATAACACCGAACATGATCTCGTTTATGGGCTTCCTCTCGGCCTGCGTTGCTGCCAAACTTATTATGGTTAGTTGACAACTGAACATAGAATCCAGAGAATAAATTTCCCGAAACGTTTTTTTTTTTTTTTTTATCGAGTACATTGAGACGCTACGCTAATACTAAGAGAAAAAACGAATCAACTTCCCATAGAGGAAGTCCTAATCTTGACAGTATCAAAATCATGACCAAATATATAAGGTTGTCCGTACCGACAGTGACGGCGTGCGATACATTGTAACGCTCATGCTATGCAAATGCAGTTGAATCGTTGAGTCGTTAAATCTAGATAGAATTTTACGTGTTTAATCGGGCGATGCGAAACTCTATCAGTGAAATTATGAACGTGATAATCGTTTCGCGACACAAATTGCCCAACAGGGATTGCCTCTGATAATCGATATAATGTGTCTACTGCTACATTGGTGATAACGGTAATCGTTTAACGTTCCATATTAACTACATGATACGATTTGTAGTTTGGCTTGCTGGAGAAGAGCAAGGATGTATCTCAGTAAGATAATGTTTGGGAGCACTACAAAAGCCGGCCAAATCTGATAATCGGGCCGGGACTAGTTGTAAGTAAAATACAAAAGTGAAACTTTTAGAGTTGATCTGCTCGTTTTAAGGTAAACCCGTTTTTCACGAAACAAAATAATGGCGAAGCTTTCCCAATACGCAGGAAAGTATTCAGTTCAGTTTATAAGGAAGCTATACGCGTGTGCGCTTTTCCACGAGGGAATACGCAAACAATTATGAGATGCTGGGAAAACAACAAGTCTGGCCACGAAGCCGCAGGCAGTGCCGAGTCGGCTTAGCAATCAATCGCGATGTATCTGTGATTGGATCTGTCTGAAGAAAGCAATATTTAAGTTATGCCGTAACTGTAGACGAAGTATCATTAGTTCGATTGCATCTACGCGATATCGCAGTCTGTTAGTAGTCCGTTCCAAAAGTACACTTTAGCATGCACTGCAAAATAGTCACCACACTGACCTTCAACTTAACTGTTAGCGTCGGCTCAATTACCGATGAGTGCAACTACATATTGCCTCAGACTAATCTTGACAGGCTAACAAGTGCTCGAGTATTTGCCCCCTCTACTCGCAGCTGAGAAAGATTGAGTTTCCGATAAACGGCATTCAACTAATAAATAGGGGTGGGACGAGGGAGGCGTCAGTTATTTTTATAGTATCATGTAGATAGTATGGTAGCATATTGATAGTCGAGTCATCTTCGTATGGTCTGCTATTCGTATCGAACGCGATTGTGTCCTGTGGGGCTACCAACACCGAGGAGTGAATGCCCCTTGAGTAGAACTCCACACTTAGACCGCACGAACGATCATTTGGTGGAATAGCCCGTCAACAAATTTCCCAATTGGCTTGGAGCTAAAAAAAAAAAGACCAAAGCTACAGAAGCGTGGATAATCTTTCGCTTCGTGTGCGTGTCTAGTTTTGTAACCAAGTGTTTCATATCTGTACATTATAAGTAGCGAACTTGACGGTCTCTTTAAAGCCCTTTATTTCATGATTTTCCCGCTCATATCTACCGCTTTTGTACAGTGTGATTCTCTGAGCATGCATCGATTGGCCATATTCATGTTCTGTCTTCGGACGTGGTTCGACGCTCTGGACGGCCTCGTAGCTAGAGAAAGACAGCATATTGCAGCATTCGTGTCGCTGCGTGATACCTCTGGCTATATAGTTGACGGTGTCGCTGATGCCTGCGGCTTCAGCGTGTTCCTCATTGGTAAGTCGCCGAACACCCTAGTATGCTGTAACCTTTTTAACGCGAAAAAAAATTAGTGTGGTCCAATTAAACGGTGTTCTATATACGTTTGTCACAGTAGAGCATAGCTCAGAGGGTTGATTCGTGTTGTGACGCATTTTCTTAAGTTTTTAACAAAATTATATATATATATATATATATATATATACCATTAAATTCAAGTACCTCATTGTAGTAGAAGTTTTATTTGATTGCCACTGACCTTAACATATCTTTGTTACGTATATCTTCTTGTAAAATATTTGAATAGGTTGTTTTTTCTACTTGAAACGGAAGCTGCCATCGACCAAAATCTACTTGCCAATGAGCCGTGGCGATCACGATAAGAGTCGACCAGCCAATTATATGCCGTTCTCCACGCGACGTATCGCGATTGTCGTAGGCTGTTTCGGTCTGCAATTGGCTGTTAGTTGCATCTTTTGGGATCATTACATTAGCGAGTATCACAATATACTTGAGGTGAGAGATTCAGAGTAAAACAAACGAAAATGTAGAGACAAGCTGTCATTTTAGTTTTAAGTACAACCGTAGAAAAATTGAACGTTTTCTTCTAAGACGAACACTTCTCTAAGTTCTCTAATAACAGATAACAATATGATTGGAACCGAAGGGTGATCGTCATAAAAGGCAAGGTGTCGGAATGTGTGAAGTAACGGGTAGGGTTCGAGTTAGCGGAGACTATTCACTGAGACAAGAACGATAAGACCGTGCAAGGTTTTTCGCTAGTTTTTAGGAAACGGCCTAATTTAGTAAGCAACCTTCCTAAGACTATTACAGTCTTCTTGTTTCAAGTAATCACTATCATGATCGCCGTTTATGTAGCGCAAACTGATCTGAGGACAATTCCAGCACATAGACGCACTCGACACTAATGTCCTTCCAAGTTTTTCTGGTATAACGTGACTAGGGTTTGTTTACTATATGAGATTCAATCTCGTTTTTTTGACGCGTTCCTAGGTACCATCGTCAAGTATTAATCCGCACGAACAGCAGGAAGTTCTGCGTTCGTCCCTCATGTGGATTGTCATGTGGTTTTGGCGAGTGTCGAACGCCCACTCCCTAATGCATATTTTTCTCTGGTTCATCTCCACGGACCGGATGTGGGACTTCGTACTCATGATACAATGGATTGGTATGGCGTGGCTCGCAGTGTTGATAGGTTTCACTGAGTTACACTTACGAAGTGTAAGTCGCTTCCGATTCTAAGTAAGCGATTACAATAAAAACATTTATTAACTCCTTGTTATATTCGAAGCGGAAAACGCTCCGAATATAACCAGGACTCAAATTAACTAAATAAGCCTTATCTACCTGTTTTAATTATCTCAGTCAATTTTATCTAGTTGTCTGGTACCAGCGTGTTAAATTATAACTGACGATTTACTCGTTTTTTTTTCCATCCTGTTACAGGTTATAAGTTACCTTCACTAGGAGTATGCCAATGTGGTTAGGTGTCCCAGAGAACGCCGGTCTGACGTTGACGGATATTGACCACAGATATAGCAATTGGTTATCAATAACTGGCCGTCTTGAGTGCGTTTTTTATCCGTGCATGCACATCATAGCTACGCGTTGTACTGTCAGGTGCCGCTTAGCTTACGGAAGCCCATCCCACTTTACGCATTAAAGCCGCATTTCGTCCAGCTTGCGCAAGAATGTGCATACGCAAAACGTTAAGAAGATTCAAAACCATCTACTGACTGGTTCGTGCCAGGTAATAAATAAACCTCTTGTAGAGGAAACAATTATAGATGGAAGCAAATACAAATACCAATGTAAAAATACAAATCTCGAGCGAAGTAAACGAAGTGCCATTTAAACCTCATTGTATTATTGACCTACTACTTTCGCTCCCCAACGAAATGCCAATTCTTACAGATAACACAACAACTACCCGTAGCGATCGTCGCGTAAATCAGGAAATGATTTAAGTAAATTCGGAGAATTTCCCAACAGCCTGCCACCTAAGGCAAATTTACCTCGTTTTTATAGAAAGAGCCAACAGCTGTGGAGGTTCATATTCAACCTTATCTCGTTCAGGTTTGGCGACAATAATGATAGCGTATGACGGTTTGTCAAATGATGTATGCTCCCATCCCGGAGTATCTGAGTAAATTCTGTGCTGAGCTGTGATCAAACTGTGCCTACAGACCTGCCGAGTTTTAAATGGGCCAGGGTTGTACCACGATATGTCTTCAAGGGCCAACAAATATATTTTAATGAGTGACAAATAAGACAGACAAAGGATTTCGGTCACAAATAAAATTTTGTGAAAGCAGTTTGCCAGTGGTTGGCCGGTTGAAAGCTTAGACAAGGAAACGGGATGCAATTGGTGTGTCAATGAACTTGCTCTTACTCTGACAACAATTTGATCAACATGTAGAATTTCTATTGTCAAGTGCTGATCAACTACAATGAAAGATGGGAATGTTGTTATTACGGAGACCTACTATAAGATTATTATGGGAGCTATTCGCGGCTACCATATGTCATACTGCACAAAGCAACGCTAATCTTAAAAAAGCGCATTAAAATTTATATCTATATTTTTTGTTCTCGACTAAAATTACTTCTCGGGACATTATGTACAATGACAAGGATTAATGCAATAACAGCCGAAAAAACTTGTTGAGAGTCAGTGCCAACATGGTAATTTGTTGTAAATGCACAATAATTAGACCGTTTATAGACTTAATATATATGGAGACTAATATATTCGGATACGAAAAGTTTCATCTAATTTTTTAAAGTTCGAAAGGACTAGTCCTTTACTGCAAACTAACGATCAAGAAAAAAAGACACGCGACTTATTTTTATTTTTCTTCAAAAATACTACTGATCACCTAATACTTATGAAGTATTACCAGTATATTTTCGAAATATGATTTGCGCTTTTTGTTTGTTTTTCAACCGACTAGTGTTAATCTTACCGTCGGTTTAAGTTTCCGGCAAATCCTTTGTGGAAGCAAAAGGCTAAAACAGCACGCTAAACATATATCGTCATATATGTAGGCAAAGAAAGTAACACAAGATTCATGAAATCGACTAATTTGTTGCCAAGTCTTATTTGCTTAATATCATTAGACACCTTTGATGCCAAACTATACGTGGGATTTCCAAACCATTTGAGGTAACAAAAGTATACAATACAGTACATTTTTTACGTATGTAAAATGCACTATATAGTACATATATTATTGTCTAATTACATTTATGCTAAATAGTTTCTTGAAGTAAAACAGCAAAAAAAAATAATGTTATGTTTGTTTTGTCTCGTACGTCTCGATGATTACCTCTTGCATGAAATAAATTTACAGTTTTTATAATATTTTAGATATATAAATAGATAAATAATTTAGAACAGGCCAGATCCAAATAGTGTTTACATAACTTTCTCATCACTGACTGGGCGCGCTTTGCAGCGGTTCACTTTCTAGGAGCAATCGACGATTATTTATGTAAAGCAGTGGCAACTAAATACTGAGATTGTATACATCTATTTTTTGTGACCTTATACTGTCACAATGTATTTTTATAGCTATCTACGCGTGAATAACTCTGTGTAAATTTGTAAATGCAATCGTAGTTGTCTAACTTAGTTAGCATATTCATTTCAATCTAGGCTGATACAGCCCATCGCGGTTTCAAATATTTAGACACCACTGAACCACGGAAGTTTGGGCATTGAAGTTTTTAATGCAGTGTCAAATAAAGGCTACCATTATATTCTACGAAAAATGACTATCGGTCCTCTATATCTAGTACTTATGACAAAACAGAAAACAAGGCTACGAAAGACCCGTCCGTTACGCGACGCCGTAGGAGTAAGCTATGAAATCGTGTTAGCGTTAAATTTTGTTGAGCAAATGTTGTAAAAAATCAATGACGATACTTCACTAGTTTTTTTTCCCAAGATGTTCTTTTTGACTGGAACAATGTATCTAAGATGTTCTTTTTGAGTGGAAAAAATGTATTCTTTTTGACTAGAAAATATATATAACTAAAATGTTCTGACTGAACATTACCGACCCGACGTGTTGCCCAATGCGTAGAGCCGCACAATAACAATAGTCACTAACATTTAAAACCATTTAAGCTATCGATCCGGACAGGTGATCGACTGATGTCATCCTATTATTATTCAGAGCTTTATCGATTCTCACGGCACCCGGCACGAGTGCCGTAGAAAACACTGTTGCAGTGACAGTGTATACTCCTACTGCGACAGGACAGGTAGCACTGGACTGACATAATGGTTTCATATATATATATATATATACAGGAAATCATTATGAAACATGTGTATATATATGTACCTGTTTCTACAAAATGCACGAACAATGCCAAATGACTATACGCTGATTTCAGAAAGTAAAATGAAAAGAAAAATATTACAAATACGATATGCATCTATTATTATTGTCAAATACATGCAAGCCTTATATGTACGGAAAGGGTCGATAAACTACGGCACAACAGATATGACCGCGTTACGTGACTTCCCCGTAACGAGACCCGGTCATGTCGGATTTTGGGAAATCTTTTCAATAAGCACTAGGCTTTTTTTAAAACTTCTACAATTAACACTAACTGGTCCTTTAGATATTGCGTTTTCCTGTGGAACCAATACAGCTGAGGGGTGGTTGAATTTTTATATGGCGTCACCGGTCTATGCATTCACTGCTACCAGTGCAGCCTGCCTCGGGTTGCGTCTGCACATTCGTATTGTTGCTCATGCCGGTATTATTGTTATTAAGATTGGTGCTGTTGAGTTCCTGCTCAATGAGAGAGATGTTCTTTTCGAAGATGCGAAGGTAGCTGTCCATAGCGAGGACGTCGTCATCCCGAGAACGATGCTGAGCTTCAGACGATCGGTCAGACTTTACCGCCTGGGTATGAACAAATATATATAGGAACCTGGTGTTATTTTCAATCTTGAATCAATTAATAATTTAATCACGCTATCTATCCTGTCTTGACCAAGTCTAAAAGGAGGATCCTTGTTGGTCGGAGTAAACGTCTAGGTTTCACCAGCATTTTCCAACTCATACGTTTGTCCACTAGACTTGAAATTTTTCCATGCGTAATGCGTCCGCAGGTTACCAGACGGGCTTAGCTTGTACTATGAGAAAGGCCACCTCCGGCCGAATGGCGGCGGCCATTGTGTCAGTACTGGTTTGAGTTGTACCCAGCATGAAATCAGAAGCTATTGACGAATGCCATTGTAAACGCGTCATTGATGGCGTGCAAATGAAATAGCTCACAGGACTCGTGCATGCATTGCTCTTTTTCAATGCCTATCCCCTTGAAGGTGTGCATGTAACACTGACGGGGATAAAATGCAAATGAAAATCTTCACCACTCTTCATTTTGAAAAATCGGTTTGGTGTGATCTCCGCTCTCAAGTACTCGTCGATGAAAATTATCACATATCATGGTTAAGAATCAGATGAGATTTTTGAGAGAGAGAGAGACTTTTTTGACTACGGGTAAACGTAATTCTAATTCTGGTGTTACTTAGATGACATTTACGCCATTTGCTGCATTTTACGGGAATGTACAAAGTCGCGCATAAAATTCTGAAGACTCCATCAACATGTCAGTTAAGTTGCGATTTATTAGACTTTTCTTAAAAATTACCATATCTTGCATTACAATACGATGATACTGATTGTCCTCTAGGGTACGCTGTGTCCACCTATACTGCTATGTGCACGGTGTCACAAAGGAAACTGGATACGTATGTGCATTACACGAAAAAAAAGGAGTCACACACGAAAGGAACCGACATCGCTACTAGTTTAAAGTTCGAATGTGTAGCCGTTGGCAAGCAGAACGATTCCTTGTGAATTTACAAGCGGTAGCATGCGGATAGTGATTTGTTAAGTAGCGTGTTGATATGCGACAAAAATTGATGAGCTCACGGGCTTAATAACCAGAGAGAAGTTAGACTGATAGCATTAGTGCACTGACAATGTACCGAAGCAATATATTTCAAGAACCTATCGGTATCTACACAGCGTGCACTACGCAAAACGTGTAATTATAAAATAATTGAATATTTCTTAATTGTAAAATTGCAATAGACAGAAATGTAGAAGTAGCTATTTTGACCCACCGAGCTTCTCCAAAATTCTCTTAAAGACAGAATGCCCAAATAATTTATGACTATCCAAATAATATTAGTTTTCAAACTAAACAAAAAAAAACGTATAATTGCTCTTTGACCCTAAACTACCCATCTTAAAGCGTTTTATAACCTTATAATATATATATTTAAATCCATAGGTTTGCCTAAATGAATAGCTACACATTAAAACCAGCACTACTCGACTAAAAGGGTCATTTTCTAGTTCTTACTTCTCGCAAACGCCTCAGAATATTGTCGTAATCTTTATGGTTATTGCTGCTATTTTCGTCTTGGCTACGTTTACTCAGCTGCTCGGCATCACCACTGCCGGTCGTCTGAAGTAGGGCTTTAACTTGACGAAGCATCTCGATTAGCCTGAGATCTTCTTCCCGATGGCTGACAGCGACTATACTAGGTTGCAGTGTACGCCCATCTGGATGGGTGGTTCCACTCTGGCTGTGATGGTTCGTTAGTCCGAGATTAGTCGTTAAGGCACCAAACGTGTGCGGCGACGATGTCGTGCAAACCTTTGGGCTACTGCCAATAGCGCCCAAGTGTTCTTGAGAAAATCGAGCCGACGAACCAATTCGCTCCATTAGTTCAGAGATGGTCTTTTTGTCCTTATGATGTCTCCTGGAATACATTTGCATATCTTAGTACTCATCGTATCCATTATAAGTAAATGAAAAGCCCCGACGGCAGGTTAACTAGTCTTAAGACCCCAGAGATCTTAGTAGTACTTTTCAGAGGAGCGCCACTAACTTTTAGACAGAAACTCGTCATGTTTCTATTGTGCACGATTTATGTAGAAATGAGAGAGGATTTTGTTTTAAGAGGTATTTTCTTGGGCTCAACATGGAATCAAAATATAATCTTTCCAGCGGAACATAATATTGAATTATAGAGACTACCCTAGGGCGGGCTTGCAGAGCGCGGCTGCAGTTGTCTATTTACAACGTGTACTGAAAGGCCAGGTAACTTTTGCTCGAAACTTTCAGTATGTTTGCTTTACCTTTTAAGCTTTTCATTTTCTTCAGCTACCAGACGCATTTCGTTTCGCAGTCTTTCGTGATCTCGAAGTAGCTGAGATTTTTCGCCGTCCACTACGTTGACATATTTGTGACAGGAGAGTGCTTCTTTAAGTGCCATAATAGCCTCGACGAACATTGTCTTGGATGGGTAGTAGTGTGGCTGAAAAAAAATTTAGCAATTGTTTTAAATACTTAGTTTTTGCCGATCCATACAAGATAAGGGTATGTATGCAAATACCGTGGCATCCTAACTTAATCGTCGAAATGTTTAAAAAGCTTGAAGGCGCCCCCCAATTCCGTAAGTTCGCTAATGAGACAGCATATTTATGACTATCCGTCTTCGTCTAAAGGGCGAGACGGCATTAGAAAGTCTTTACGGTAACAATTCAATATTGAGGACTAGTACAGCATCGAGGAAGCCCCTTTTTCACAAAAGCAGTGTTCACCGTTTTCGCATTCGGTGAACATAACACGAATTTCGTGATCCCTATCGCTGGCCGATATCTCGTTGTCACAAAGATTACTTTATCCATTTGTAATCCTGAACATAATGTTTACCGAAGAGAAAATCCTATTAATAACATACAGTGTCATGATTGTTAAGCTTAGTGGAAATTTAGTCATGTTTTCATGCATAATATTAGTGACCGCGTCCAATTAAGCCTTATCTAGTATTCCTCGATCGCTCATCTATTCATACAGGAATACCTTCCCTCTGAACGGTGTTCGGGTCGGTCCAAAGCATTTTGTTTCTGTGGATACATGTTACGTAATAAACGTATGAGGAACATCCAAACAGATGTCATTTTGTGAGTAAGCCAAATCACAATCTATATTCACAAAGCAATAACCATGTGCTGACGCAACAAAATTAAGATGCCATAGCGAAGCTCTTTAGCACCCTTTTAAGATATTAGGCGCAAAGCAGACTCGGTATGTATGCTCGATATAGCTTAGTAAAGATTACCAATTTGCCTTTTATTTCTTCCATTCGCCAAGGAAGTCTTCACCTCATAAGATTCCGCAACAGATATGGCTACGCAGCATAATTTTATATAGTATACTCTGATGTCACCTAAATCAACATTTGTATTATTTGAAACTTTATACGTTATAGATGTGAAAAAAATGTTATTTCTTCTTAACAATATGATAAAACAGCAATGTCAAGTTAGTGCCAAAATAGTTTCGGTCCATCTACCAGAATAAACTTACACCAGCATCTAATGTAAAGCGCGATACAAAATATAGATGTTCCATCTAGTTAACCTCTTTTTTGACTTAATTTATCAAAGGAAGCGAGGTGTGAGACCTTGGCTTTTGTTACAACTAAGCTAGGTAAATATGACGCTCAAAATGCTTAACAATAGACTTCATGAGAACTGCTTTTAAATGGGTTTAACTTTACGTAAAAAAGGCTCACGGAAGTTTAATGGTTTATGTATAGAAAATATTCTGAAAATAGTATAACCGCTTCAATAACACAATATATAAGACACCGTTATACACTAATCATAATTATGTACCTATGTTTTCTAGATTTGGGGCAAATGTTTTTTCACTTCCAATATCTTATAAGTGACAAGATATTGAATATCAGATTCTACGGTAGCTGACTGCCATTGAGCCCAACGTCCCAAACTTCGCCCATTTATTGGGGTCGTACTCCCATTTTGGCGGCTGAAATCGAACATTTTATATAGCTCTTTTTTTTTTATATATATATAGGCATGGGCAAAACCATATCTCGCGGAATACGTTTTTAAGAAGTTGAACTACCGCGACAAAAACGAATGTGAAAATACAAGTAGTAAATTCTAATTTAGTTTAACTCACCATAGTTTTTACACTCTCATTAAGTCCCTCAATGTAGGTCTTGAGAAGCGTGCATTTAAGTTCGGCGTTTTCCACGTTTTTTGATCCACTTAAGCGTTCGAGTTGGGATACAAGTGAGCGCAGCTGTGAGAGATCGTCCTTAGCTGTATCCAGAACCTCTTGAACGGATTTTAATTTGGCGGCCATGTTATCAACCTCGCATGTTATGAGTTGTAGACGATCCTGCGCTTGGACCATATTGCTTTGATCCAACGAACATCGCGAAGAAGACATCGAACCTTCAACAAGCAAATGCCGGTATCGGATATAAGCAAAGCAAATTAGGTTCATTCTTCGTGCATAAAGCGTCAAACGACCGGTGCACATCTTCTAAATAAATTCTACATTTCAAGGGAATTCGAACGGCTTGACAGTAGATGCGCCAGTTGGTTATACAAAAGAGCGTTTCTGTGTCTACGAAGGATCCAATCATTCATATCCCGCTGGCAGTTTGTTCTGTTCGCCAAGGAGAATCAACATAACTTTTTCCTTCGACTCAACGGAGACACATGTTTTAGCCAGTTAGCATATATTACATTACACGTACTACCCAATTAGGTAAATACCATTGTACACGTCTAGGTATGTGGCGAAGAGAGCCCGCGTCGGCCCTCGTTGGCTCAGCTTTCACCTTCCTTACTTTCAACACCTTTGAATTGTAATATCAATTAACATAACAGCAGAATTCCCACAATCACAACTGGCCGACTGACTCTTAATCTGAAGACGCGGAAAGGACCGAAGGGAGCGATGCATAACGAGCCGCACGTGACAATAAAAAGTACACAGCTTTAACGGACTGACCCAGCAGAAGGATGGCGTCCATTGTGGACTCATCTTGAAAACGCAGCGACTCTAGAATGGTGAGGAGTGGGCAAGAATTGGAAGGCGACATATAGACGGCAAATACTACGCAAAAGACAGGAAAGCTCGTGAGACGTCTCGATCTCAAGATCTTACCTCAAGCAGATTCCTTCTGTTGAGTAGATTTTTATATGCTGGTACATAAAATGACCATAAAGAGATCAGGTGAACATTCCATGCGAAGGGCTCACTATGAGCCAATATACTAAGCGGATAAAACCGCATTTTCTCGAACTCCACCTGTAACATAGAGTTAGCTACCCATCCGAATGCCAAAAACACTATTCATTTAAGCAAAGCCCACCTGGTTGCACGAGAACATTCGGAGTGACACGCCTACTCGAGGCACTTAAATAGTCACTTGTTGACCCTAAGAGCCGATCGCCTCCACGGTCGATCGTCTTTCGACGTTCCTCTTCGACAACACCCGCCGCCGAACTTTTCTTCGCCATTTTAGTGCTTGCCTACGACGAACCCACATAGTTACAAATGCAGCAATTAGTCAGCAAAAAGAAATTGTCTTGCATTAAACGTTTGTTCCAGTGGGACAGCCTTGCGCCGGAGCGATCTTGAAACTTAATGGTTTAAGTTTTTAAAGTAGTTCGACTGTTTTCCATGTCACTCTATTCGTTGTTACAACGTTTGAACATATTTATATAAAATTCTACAGTATAGACGTTATTACAAGCTAAACCACATATATGGCTTCCTCTAATAAATCATTATCTATGCACTATGCAACGTTTTTTATTATTAATACGCAAGTCTAGGTTACAACTGATATTAATTTTATAGCAACCTAGGTGCTGTTAGGATAGTTGGAGCAGCAAAAAAGAAGTGTGTCGCGCCTGTCCATTTGCGTTTTGCTTAGGTCGCGGACCGTAACGACAGATGTAGTTCTCAATTCTCGTCACTGTACATTCGCTACATGCACATAAGACAGGTAAATGATATCTTGAATTACGACACAAGCAATGGTGAGTTTATCAAAATGTTCAACACATACCATACACCTAAGATATGACGATTTGTCGGATAGCTTACATGATGGGAATTCTTTGATCCCGCAGGGATAAACGGCTGCGACGACAGTCCACTGAAAGAAATGCATCGAATAATATGGTAAGAGAAAACAGGTTGTTTCTATCCAAAGACAAAGGAAGTTATAATTCTTGTGGATGATTTGACTGCGGTTCGTTAATGTAGCGGAGAATATATGTAAGTAAAGCTGTTACGTGATCATGTTATCCATCATCGTACGAATTATAAGCGAAGCGCGATGACGGAGATGTTATTCTGGTAAGGGTGTCAAAAGTAAAATCTTTAAAGAATCGCATTCAAGCACGGATGCTTTCTGTAGTATGTGTGCATTGCAATAAGAAATGACCCGTCTTTTGGGATGCATCAGCTAAAACTGTGTCCTGGTTGGTTTTCGTCAAACAGCAAAGGGCCTCCCCTAGCCTGAAAACACTTTCTTAAATAATTATAGAAGAAAATTGAATGAATTGCTATATTATTATTATCTCACATAATTGCATCCGCTTCGTGATAAACTTTACTTAAATACGCCAATACAGGCTTATTCTCAGTTCAAACAGGTTAATTCTCAGTTCTACAGAGGTACATACTTGTATTTAGTTAGGTATTTATCTTTAAAAATTATCAGTTGAAATCCATGAATGCCATTTACAACGGAAGTGTCTTCTTTCTTTTCCTAATTATAACAAGCCCACTCAATCGATAAGGGTCAACAAATCTGGCGACGAAGATTGGTTTTCAGCATATGTATGTCATACTTACGTCATGGAAACAGATCACTATATTAAAATAGAGATACTTATTGAACGCCTAACACAATTAGCACTATACAATTAACCGATTCTAGTAGACCTGGCAATTTAAAACAATAATAATAATAAAAGTAGTTTAGTAGTGCATTACACAGATGCCAGAATCTGCAGGACTCAATTTATGCCCGCAAAATCGAATATGAACTCTACGCTTCTTGTTTCCAACGTCAAGCGCGGGATTTAGCAATCGATTGGCATGCAAACACAAACAAGCCCGATGGAGAGGGTGAAATTCGGCGCCAAATTTTAAACCCAACCAAGTATGTGGTTTTGTCTCCACAAAATGTTAAGGAAAAATTTATCAGACCGAAATTGCTGCGAATTGATTCTAATTTCTCTCACTTATAGAAAACAAAGATCAAGATGATTGCAGTTGGGCTCCGATGCAATAATATAGCAATACCTATTTAATTGAGTCTCATCAAGCTACCAATGAATGCTGCATCGTTATAATGTGGTGAGTACTTAAACTGAGCATACATGGTGTTTAAAAAGTTTTATCAAGCTGTTTCATATAATCGTATTTTTTTTACGTTGTGCGATAGTGGGGATACAAACTGGGCACATAGAATGTACGAATAAAAAATATCAGAATAAGCTTGTTGGTGCGACTTTGCTTGACAATGGCGAGCTTTAGGTAAGTCTTCGGTGTTATGAACGAGAATCTTCTTGACAGACCCAGCGTTGTCAAAGGAATGTAAAATTCTCATACCGAGTGCGACGTTAATGCACGTAGCGCCTATAGTGCCGTTATTTGAACAGTGTCTTTTTTCATAGAAAATTTTCTCGCGGCATATTTCCGCATAACGATTCACTATAATTAGTGAAAATTATTGCTATGATGTTACATAAAACGTATTGGCCTGGGTTCGACGCATCATCTATTTTATGTTTGAATAAAATGTAGATACTTTTTTTTGCTCTGTTTGTAGAATTTGTCATGTTTGTAGAATACTTTTTAAGAAAACTCACCAGGTTATCTGTTTCTAGGTAATTATTCAAACAAAATTATGTGATGCTTGCACCGCAAACTAGCTTACAAGGCATAAACAATTTAAGATTTAATTATAATTGAAGCTGCTTGGCTCTTTTTGAGGGCTGTTATAAGCGAATCCGATGGACTAGAAAATTTAATAGTTTTTGAATTGCGGGCCGCTGACAGACGAAATTCGATTGGCAACCACACCAGTCACCTAGAAACTTGTGGGTGAACATGCGTGCCAAAATAAATGAGTTCAGAGGCAAGATCATATTTTTGTATTGAAAACTAACGCGTAGTAGTCAAACTTTTGTCCCTCGAAGGGAATTTATGGAAGATTGGTAAGGACGCTAGGCAAAAGGCCTCAAGCTGAAGCAGACTACGGGAAATAGAGTGTTGAAGAAAAATGCACTGCTGTAATTGAGGAGACTTCGCGCCTGGAGCCCAGTTGCCCGCCCGATCGGCCAAAACTTGCATTTCACAAGTGACGTGACTTAAAACCAACAGAAATACAAAAAGGTGGAAACTAAATACAAAATGGGTTCTTCATGAGTTGACTCTAGATTAGTTATCTCGCATGTGCGGTTTGCGAACTTTAATCAACGAAAAAGTCGTCTGAAACATATGGTCGCTATAGACAAGGCGTGCTTCAGTCTCTACCGGCCGCTGGAAAGGGACCAGGCTAGGGAATGGCGTTACCTTAAAAAAAAATCGAGTTTGGTGGCAATGCTGAGTAGGTTCAAACATACGGTGATGGCAGTACGGCATCAGAGACACTTGCTACTATGAGACATATTCCGAAAATGAAACAATAAATGCAGCTTGCTATCTTGAGTGTCTCAAGCAATTCATGAACCGTTGGCGCGGTAATTGAAAGCATGCAGTCTGCTTACTTGATGACGACCTCAGGCCAAATCTCAATTACTTCCTGGATTGAGCAAAAGGTCTAACATTGGCTTCAACTCCGCTATTCTCCTGATCTAAGTCTATAAGATTACAAGGTTCTCCCTCAAGGGCCTCTACAAAAGGGCAACTGGTGAGCAAGCAAGCGATTTATTTCAGGAAGTTGAAGTAGACAGAGAAACTATATATGAGAACGCGAATGGTAAATATATGACTGTCCCGAAACTGCTCGAGCACCGGCCAAAGTGTATAAATAGGTAAAGAAGGGTACCTTAAATATTAATAGGTAAACTATCTTTTAAATTAGCACGCTTGACAAGAATGTAATGATTCAAGTTACTCAATTGAGAAAAAAAAAAAGCAGTTCCTAAAACAAATTGCGTTTTCCAGGATAAATGCCGAACACAGACAACTTATTCTATGTAAATTGAAACAAGTTAAAGAATTACCATGACCCTTAGATTTCTACTGCGCTATGAGGAAAAATTTCCTTTCTATCTAAAATCTACGAGATTGCGGAACGATGTATCTTTGAACATCGGATTTGTTAGAGAATCATTCCGATATTCTACCGATAGCTATCGCTAGTAACGTTCGACTCTCTGGGTCTCTGACCTTTGTAAACAACTTTAAATAATTTGCATTTTGTTATAAATAAAAGCACGAAAACAGGGCTAAAGTTGAGGCTTGTTGTTTAACTAGAAACGTAAAATATATATATATATATATATATATAATAAGCTGGTGGTATTTTCAGTGAACGAATGTGAGATAGTTGATCAAATCGCTGTTACTTTGAGTACTTGAAAATCATAGATCCATATATTGAGTAGCGTTCCCGCTATTCGAGTAACCCAAAACACCATATTATCATGCTATATAGAGCGATATATGTTCTGAGAAAATAATTTATCCCAAAGTTTTTTTCCTTCTTTTTGTTTTCTAAATTGATGAACTAAACTAGTATTGAGCATAAACCTCAATTCAGTTGTCTTCGTCTGTAATGTGCCTTCGTTTAACTGCCAGTCATTGGCTCTGTAACATTATGTCAATGAAAATAAGTGGAAGAAAAATAATAGATATTGTTTTGCTTCTATAGTTTGTTCAACCCATAGCGCTTTCACAATAACTAATCAGAGGTAACCGACGTATTACATCCATAAATAAAATGACTTCATTTGTGTACATAAGCCCTTTCAGATCCAGACCAGAGGAAGGTAATACAATTTGAGCCTTTGTGCCGCGACTCTGTATGCAAGCTAATTATTCCGACGGTATAAAATCTTCTATAAAACCAAACAGACATTTTGTATTCTTAGTAAGCCAACAGCTAAATGGATTTTATAGGTGTTCCGGGGCTGATGAAGCTGAAACCCAGACGAAGTGGCAAAATCCAGCTGATAAAAATGTTCAACGATCAACGGTTCAGGACGGGCCATTTTTTTTTTTTCTTAACATCCGGGTTTCCTCCAGTAATATCTAAAAAAAGCAGAGTTAAATCTTCGCGTTTCCTCGCGACCTGTCATTTTGGAACAGGACTTGTGTACCGTTTTTCAAAAGGTACCGATTGTGTTGAAGTTTAAATTTGGATATCGCTCTAAACAAGACGAATATGTTCAAAAAGGCAACTACCATACGTATTAGGTACATCTTAGAAAGCTTTATTTCTAGAAATTGTCCTCTGCTAAAATATTGTAGCTTAAATTTTAAAATACTTTTACATACGTTAGCCGCCAAAGTGCATTGCTTAATCATGGTTATTTAGTAGGAGGCGCATCGTCATATCCCAGGCGATCGTAGCCAAATTCATTCAGACAGGTTTGTCAAATAGAAAACAAAGAACCTTTAGTCTCAAAAGGTCATTACAAAAAGTTACCTAGAAGAAGATACTCCTAATAACTCCATACAATGTGGCTTCAAACTTTTCAATCTATCGTCACATATAGAACCGTTTATGACAACAAGTAAAACGAATGAATCTAATCAGCTAAGTCTGGCCGAAGTTACCTATTGCTTAAATATAGTCCTGGCAGAAGAATCACGCATAAGGTAATTTATTACGGGCCCTTAGGCAAAGTACACCAGGTTAATTGTGATTGGACTTAGAGTGAACAGATAACTGCTTGATGTATAACATTGTTCCAGCCGGTTTTGGAACCTGGGCATCTACTATGTGGTCGAAGCTTTTGTGCAGAGGTTCGGGTTTGAAATAACGCATTTTAGTAAAACCTATTTTTGGTGAAAAAAAAAAAAGGTACAACCAGATTTTTCAAACTTGAATGTACATTAGCAAAGATATAATTACTTTCTATAGAATATTTTGATATCGATGCAAATTACTGAAGGTTGGAAAAGCTTGAGGTGTTGGAAGCCGTTTTGAAGTCCAAGCAAACGACGCGAGTTACTGCAACGGATTAGCCTTGGATTGGAGTAGAAATACAGTCGCACCGAATTGGATCGAAATTTGGATTCATTCTTGGTAGTCGTGAAAACAGGCAGCTGAGTGGAATTCGGTGAAGTGCACATGTATTGCTTCCACATTAAAACATTACAGGTTGTTTCATCTGAAGCCGCTCTCAAAATAGACGAAAAAAGCACCCAGAACAAAGTGGTCGTTTGTTGAGAGTCCTTGTTTGACCTGAAGTCTGCAGACACTAAGAGTTTACGGACACGTAGTCCTAGGAGGGTCCTTTTTTAGGATTTACAGGTGGCCTTAGTCCATTTACACGCGACGTTGGCGCAGCCTACTGATTCTATATCAACTCGTATACTTGACACGCTCCTGTTCATCTGATGAACTTGTCCTCCCCTAATTATTACTCTTCGCTACAAGTATTATGAAATGATTGGATAGACAAATCGTTGATTATGACATCAATCAGAGGCGCATTTTACCCCCGTTATTCATAGTATGTCTATCTAATCGCATAATAGCTATGTATGAAATACATATTAATTTATTTAGTAATTATTAATCACAACCAATTAAGCATTAATAAACAAAGTACGAAACCATTTTAGGTCTTCTGTTTAATGAGAGACTTCTGGTGATTTAAAACGAACGGGGCCATTAAAAACTGCTTTTGGCCTGCAAATTTTACGCCCGTTAGAGTTCCACGATACGGTCAATTGCCTTCATCTTAAAAGATTCGAGATAGTATA